AGTTAGGCACCGACTTGGACCATGGACGGGGAAGATGGAGCAACGAGCAAGACGGACCGAGGACGCGGGACGTCGGTCAGTCATGGCTTTTGGTTGGACTGTCAAAAAAGTGTTGTTGTCAGCTATGGGAGAAGCCCTTTGGTTGAAACAGCTATAAAACTGTATGTTTGTTATGAAATATCTGTAATGCCCCATGAAGACATGATAGACTGTTTATATACAAATTCTATTATTATTTGTGCAAACAACTGTTTATAGCAGCTGTGAAACAGGAGGGCGACGTCTGACGTGAGGACTGGGGATCGGCCCGTTCGGCTTGGTTTGTTCGGTTTCTTTTTTCAGTCGAAACAGTGTTTTTCTTTCACAATAATTCAGCCAGAATAATATTTTTCAGTCAGTTTCAGCGAGCCGAACGGGGCCATAATCCTGTGCATTCTATTATTTGGTTTGTTTTTGGCAAAATGGCCACTGTATTTGCTTTCAACCTGTAGTATGCAACATGGCCTCATTTCACATCTTCCTTCCCAGCGAGGAAGGGCAGTTTGCCTCACTCTCGCTATACAATTAGGTTCTATTTATAACATATATGCATTATTTGTGTAACTACTGTACGGACGCTAGATGAAAAATCTAACAAACAGGCTATAATGAAACAAGTTTCTGCAAATTGTTTGCCTCGAAATACATTACCAAAGTAGAATATGTTCTAAATATGTGTTTCATCTCTCGAATGAACAATATAAATAGTTGTTTCCCTTCGTATCATCATTTTTAACTGCGACGTTCTACATCCCACGCCCCGTACATCAATCCATCGTTCCATAAACCTGACTGTTAGGCCCCGTTTAGCAGGGTCCAGCTTCTCGCGGCTCGTTCCAAAGAGCCCTGGCAAACATGTATCTAAAAAACAGCTCCTTCCAAGGAGCCCAAACAGTTTTTGAATAAAGGAGCTAAAGACATAGAAATGTGACTTCTCTCGGCTCCTCTTTGCAAATCCAATACAAGTTATCCAAAATTACCACTGAAACCGATTTTGCCAAACATTTTATAAAACGGTTTCAGCTTCACCTCCACATGCTCTATTTGAGAAGCTCGAGCCGAAACTCTTTCATCAGGAGCCGAAGCCCTACAAAACAGTACCTAAATCGGACTTCACTATCGGAAACAGTGGCTTTGCCGTATGCCACAAGCACTCGGCAAAGCCCACAAAACACTCGGCAAAGGCTTTGCCGAGTGTAACACTCGGTAAACAGCACACGACATCTACAGTGCTAGCAAACGTCTTTTTACCGAGTGTTTTTTATCGGGCACTCGACAAAGACTTTGCCGCGTGCTAAAACCGACTCTTGATAAAAAAAAAAAAGTAACGTAGCGTCTTCTGCGCCGCGCTGCACTTTCTGACGTCCATGGGACTTGGCACCCCACATGCATTTCGGTGGGCCGGCTTTGACATGGGCTCAAACAAACTCCCCCTTATACCCAACTCTTTAGCCCACCTAAGCTGGAGTAACAGGCGCTCGCAGCTGTGGCCGGCTGGCACGCGCGCTGAGGTGCGGCACTTTAAGCTGGTTGGCTCGGTTCGGGAAGCAGTATGGTGCTAATGTGGGAGCAAAAACAAACGCTGCGCTCGGGTGTTTGTTGCTTTGTTTTGCTGCTCGGCTGCTCCGTAGCGTGAGAAGTCCATCTTAGATGGGCCGGTTGGCCTCCTGCACGACCCATAGTGGCGTCACGCTCCCACAAAGAGACCCATACAAAGACGCTTTACCGAGTGTTGGATCGGGGCCCCGTTTTTTTTTCATTTTTCTTCTATTTCTTCTTTTCCATAACGTGTTTTTCTTTTTTTCCGATGTACTTTGAAAATACCCTGTCAAATTGACTCAACAATATATATTTGATTTTTCTATGAATATTATTTCATTATTTTATGCATTTACAGCTCAAATTTAATTTGTATCAATTAAAATTCTATAATTGCACTTAATAAATTAAAATTATCAAACGGATTCAAAAATTTACCAAAAATTCATATGAAACAATCTATGTTCTCTATTGCCTATACAAAAAATTTTAAAGCCAAACCCCAATTCGACTGTCACTTTGACTCCAAATCTTACATAATCCTTCTGAACGCTATGATTCTTCTTCTGAGATGCTTCGGTTTGTAAACATCGTACATGACAAATTATGCCGAAAACCTTCTCAATTTTTTAACACAGCCTCCATGTATGATATCATCACATCATGACAAATCTCATGATTTTCAGACTTCGTTTGCTTTTTTTAGAATTTAAAAATCAATCGACCACACGTTCGTGGTCGTGTTTTTCTAAACAAGATGTTCGAAATTTCTTTTCATTTTCCAGGTAAGGGCCTACACTGGACTCAATAACATGGATATCATTTTTCTACTCATTTTATTCTATTATTTGAATCACTTGCGGTTCAAATTTGACTTATACCAAAAAAATTCTAGAAAAGCAATAAATTAATTAAATATAGGAAACAAATCCAGAAATATACCAAATTTTAACATGGAATACCACATGTTGTATGTGAAGAGTAGAAAAAGTTTCAAGGTCAGAAGAGAAAAAAATGAAATTATTTGTCGCGTGCTAAATAATTACACTCGGCAAACATATTTCTTTGCCGAATGCCTAGTTTTACGAAGTGTTTTTTTTTCTAGTTTGCCGAGTGTTGAATTTTTCTGTGTGTTTTTTGCCTCGTTTGCCTAGTGCAATTATTTTGTCGAGTGTTTGTTTACATCCCTCGATAAAGAGCTTGATTGCACTCGAACATCTTGCACTCGGCTTACCTTTTCCGGTAGTGCCTACCGAAACTGTCTTTCATTGAAACTTTGGCAGCTCCATCCGTGGATTCCTCGCGCTCACTTGAACAGCAGCGAGCTACTCCATATACAACAGCACCTAAGTTTAAGCTGACGGAGACAAAGGATGGTTCCTGGCCGTCGTTTACATCCTTGACAGTGTGGAGGGATCGGAAGAGCAGAATAGTAATTAGACACGTGCGTGGCGTGGCGTGTGGCGTGTGGCGTGTGATGTGTGTTGGCGTCTTGCTAGCGCGCGGTACGTTGCATTGCATATTTGCATTGAATGGATCCACACGCACGAGCGAGTCCACGACGATTCTTCTAGTACTACATGAAAGAGGGCCTCGTTCACTAAAAAAAAAAAAGTGAATCAGATCCCTTTCGCGACTTTCGGACGCTTATTTGGAGAATATTATCAGCAACAGGAGCCAACCGACCGCAAAAGATTCATCTCGTCCGTTCATCTGATCCGGTTCAGTTTTAGTTATTTTTCTCTCTTTAATATTCCATCTCTCAATCTCATCTCCCAAAAATGTGATGGAAAAAATAAAAATCCTTAGTGGAGGATGCAGCTCCACCCGGAGTTTAGGATCACGCGTAGGGGGCAAATAAGGTCCCTTTCGCGACCTTCGGACGCACCCGGAGAGCCGCATCAGCAACAGGAGCAACGACCGCGTCGATAGCTCGTCCATTCATCTGATCCGGTCCAGTTTCCGTCACTCTCTCATCTCCCAAAAAGCACATAAAAAATACACATCCATGGTGGAGGAGCAGCTCCACCCACCCTACCTCGCCGATGTCGGGGCCGTGGTCACCCTTTACCTGCGTCGAGGCGCGACTGGGCCATGGCCGAGCTCGCCGAGGCCACCCACGCCGGAGTCATGGCCGAGCTCACTAGGGCAGCAGGTCAAAGCCCTCACCCTCTTCTAGAGATTTTTTTTTACTCTACGTCCAGATATAAGCAAAAGTAATACGTATCTAAAAAAAATTAAAATATCTTATAATTTAGAATAAAGAGAGTACATTAGAACTCAAGTAGGAATTTCACCACAAAAAATCTAACCAAGCACTTATCGGATTGTTGTGATTTTTATATGGTATAATCAAATCCTATATATGCTCGTATTTTTTAAGATTTATGCTGGGATTTAACCGTCTAAGTAGTGTGAACATATATACATGTAATCAGATACTACTCGAGAGGGCAAAAGGCACACCGTGTCTAGTGTGAACACGTGGACATAATCAGATGCTCAAGAGAGGAAAAGGAGATAGGCAGTTCAGGTCTCTTGTCGGGCCTTGTTTAGATTCAAAAGTTTTTTCTAATCTCTATATATGCATTAAATCTTTGGACATGTTAGGATTTAACCGTATAGATAAAAAAATTAATTATATATTTAATTGTATGTAATTACGGTACTAATCTTTTGAGCTGGGTAAAAGGCACACCGTGTCTAGTGTGAACACGTGGACATAATCAGATGCTCAAGAGAGGAAAAGGAGATAGGCAGTTCAGGTCTCTTGTTGGACAAAAAAACGCAAGTGACCATGGAAGCAACTACCACCATTCACCAAGACGGATGAGCGAGCAGGAGCATCACCGAGCTCCTGCAACTGCAACGTCAGGTCAACCGGCCGATCCGCTTTTTCAACGCGTGCGAATTACGTTTTTTTTTTTACTTTTTTTTGAAGCAAAACGCGTGCGAATTACTACCCCTACTCCTATGTGCTGGCTGTCCGAAAGCGCAGCGGGGCACTTGGGCGTCGCTTTCATGGCCCAAGCCAGAGCCCCAAGGGCCAGCCAGCCACCCGACGACGCCGGTCAGCCTGCCCGTGCCATCCCTCGCTCTCGCCTCCCGGCTTCCGCCCACCTGCACTGAGCAGCTGACGCTGACGCTGACGTAAGAGCTTCCCAAGTCCAAGTCCGGTCCCGATGAGCAGCGCGCCGCCGCCATGGACCCCACGCACACGTGGCGGCTGCAGCACAACAGAATAGCACCGCTGCCCATATAATAACCAGCTCGATTAGCTCAGCTGGACACGCACTCACTTCACCAGTCACCACCACCGACACATCACACACGGTCGACCTACAGCGCGCGTCAGAGAGCAAGAACTTGATCGGCCAGCCAATTAAGCCAATCCCCTGCTCAATTGATCCATTGAGATCGTCATGGAGGTTTGCAATCATGGCAATAACGCCATGGAAGCTCAGCAGCAGCGAGAGCAGAGCCAAGCCGGGGGCTGCTCCGACGACCCGGCGGCGGTGCTGACTTGCCTCACATTCCTGGAGCAGAAGATCGGGCACCTCCGCGGCATCATCGGCGCGGCGCCGCGGCCGCCGCGGCAGATGGTGTCAGCCGAGCTCAGCTGCATCGCCGTGCAGCTCGTCTCCATCTCCAAGAGCCTCGCCACGACCGGCGGCGGCGCGGCGGACCAGGACGACGGCGCCACCCGGTCGCCGGGAGCGGAGGCGACGTCTCCGAACGACGGGGACAGCGACTCGTCCGACCACGACCCCCTCCACGCCGAGGACGACGACGGCGACGGCCGCATGCCGCCGGCCGGCTCCTACGAGGTGATCGAGCTCGGCAAGGAGGAGATCCTGGCGCCGCACGTGCACTCGTGCAAGGTATGCGGCAAGGGCTTCAAGCGCGACGCCAACCTGCGCATGCACATGCGCGGTCACGGCGAGGAGTACAAGACGGCGGCCGCGCTCGCCAAGCCCGCCTCCGCCTCCGCCGCTGCGCCATCGTCCTCGGCGGGCCGGTGCTTCTACTCCTGCCCCTTCGTGGGGTGCAAGCGCAACCGGGAGCACCGGAGCTTCCAGCCCCTCAAGACGGCCGTCTGCGTCAAGAACCACTACCGGCGGAGTCACTGCGACAAGAGCTACACCTGCCGCCGCTGCAACGTCAAGCGCTTCTCCGTGCTCGCCGACCTGCGCACGCACGAGAAGCACTGCGGCCGCGACCGCTGGGTCTGCTCCTGCGGCATCTCCTTCTCCAGGAAGGACAAGCTCTTCGGCCACGTCGCCGCCTTCGACGGCCACGCGCCCGCGCTGCCGCCCGACGACGACGACTCTGTTGCCAATGGCGGCTTCGGAACTGGCTCTGATCGCCTGACGACGATGGACACCGAGGCAGTGAGCAGAATGGCGAGCATGGAGTTCTTCCAGGACGCCGTGCTCGATGTTATCGGCTGTTCTGACATCAAGGGCTTCACGCTCATGGACGGACAAGGACAATATTTGGAGGACGACGACGGACGAGGGTCGCTCTCACCATTGCCAATGGGGCTCGATTCCTGTGATTTTGATGGATTTGATCTCTTCGGGGCACCAGCAATTGATTTCTGAACTCAGGAGAAAATAGAAAAGAAAAACTAAAAATGATTTGTCCTCACTCAATTGGCATTTTAGCCTGTAGAACAAGTAGGAAAGTGTACACTAAAACATACCCAAATGCAAGGAATTCACATCTTCAACTGATAGGCCACTGCAATTTGCAAATCGCCAGTAGTAATTTGTTCAACTTGTGCCAACACAGCATTAAGAAGGACCTAGTAAATTCTGAATACAATATCACAAAACAGGGTATAAGCGTGAGGAACTATAAGAATCCAGATCACATGTAAGCAACCAATGAACAAAACCATAAGACAGGACTAGGTTATCACAGTCTACATTTTTCATCTTTATCTTCGGAAACATGGCAACACAATGGTGGATGCATCAAAGCACAACCGACAGAACCTCATAACAAGACAAATAGACAATGGACTACTAACAGAACAAGAGCAAATGATTGAAGTATCACAGATCATTCAGGAATTGGCCCTATTTATTGCAACTCTTTTACAGACAGCATGGTTTGGCTCTTGAATTTGTTGTACACAAGAACTAACAGTTGCGTATCCAGTATCCACCAAACTACAATGGTGCTATATTTGACAGGAGCTAGTTTACAGAAAAATGGCCAGCAAAATTCATCTGAATTTTCACTCAGCCTGCAAAATGAAGTCTGAAGTTTCTGAACAATGATGTGGTGACGAAGGACAAAACATCATTAGAACCTAACCCAACAGCGGGTGCACTGGGCCATGCAATCCCCTCTGCAGTCAATATTGTAGCCCAAAACTTTCGGATTCCTCAGGAGAAGGCTCCGCAGAGTCTTCCCATTTATTCCCCAGTCACTGTCCAGCTTGCTCACATTCAGCTTCACCTCGCTGTCAAGGTCACACCCAAGAACCTCCGGAAACTTCTTCAGCAACTTGTGAAGGTCTTCGTCCGATAGCCCGAGGCTCCTGATGTAGTTCAACACTCCAGTTACCACCTCAGCATTCGGAACCTCCTTCTTTCTCTCTTCGCTCCAATACGGCGAGTGGATCCATCCAAACGCTTTATTCAGCATCTTCTCGGCGTCTTCGCTGGAGAAATCCAATGAAGTGAGGACTTGTTTGCACTCCTCATTGACATCCACGACAGAAGCTTGTGCTTGGTCGGCTGATAGCGTCCGCCATTCCCGACGGCTTTTCACAAGCTCGATGTTTTGCTGCCGGACATTCAATCTTCCTCCACAATTGTTATCTGAAAGCTTCACAGCCGGTGCACTCGAGACATTGCGCTGCAGAGGGAGGAATTGGGATGCAAGCGCCTCAAGGGTCATTGCTGGTGATTTCGCCAACAATCTTATAAAGGAGCAAGCTAGATTGAGGATCTTACAGCTGTAATAAAGAAGCCAAATGCAGGAGTTTCAGCAGTCACCAAAGGCAGTGCTGGTGATCTGGCCAACATCCTGCACAGAAGCAGAAAGCTGGTTTCAATCAATGTTATGTTAGTAAGAAATGAACATCGATGCAGGTGAGGTGAAGACAAAGGGAAGCTAATTGTGATTTCAAGCAGAGAGGACAGCAAGTAGTGAACCGAACAAAACCTAGGAATTGTTTCGGCTGCCATCAATTACATCGAAATCCTACATCGGTCCTGAATCCTAACAAGGTATCAGTAACGGTAGCGGGAGCAGAGAGGAACACTGCAAAAAAAAAAAAGCCCCGATGCAGCGACAAGGCATTCCTAGGTGCTCCCTAGAGGACAAAAAGAAGAAGGCGATAAGCAAACACGACGACGACCACGCGATCACTGGGTGAAGCAGCAATCAGCCAAGAAGAAATTTGGGAGCAGCGCAGCGAACAAATCTGAGCGAAGGAAACGGGAAAAAACAAGAGAGTGCGACTGTACTAGGTGGATCCTTAGCCGCGTGCGCGCGTGCGAGCTCCTCCGGCTGTACCCGTCTTCTCCCCTCTCGTCCGTGGGCTCAGTTCGTTTGGTCACCAGCGTCTCCATCGGCGGGTAGGAGAAGAAGAGGCGAGGGCTCCGCCGCGGGGCCGCGTCTCCACCGTGCCTCTTCCGAGCCGCCTCCAGCCGCACACGCCCGCCGTCGCCATCCCATCCCACCCGCAAGAGCCAACCAACCACTGAATTTTTTTATATTTTTAATCTTTTTTATTTAATATTTTAATAATAATCACACCAAAAACCTTATCGCGTCATTCCTGGCATGACAGTACTGTTCTAAAATCATCTTAACGACGTGGAAAACTTTGCGGATATAATTTTTTTATAATTTTTTTATATTTTTCTTTTATTTTTATATAAATATTATTTTTTGAACATCTTAACGACCTTAAATATAAAAACTCAAAACTATAAAGTTAAAGATCTTATTAAGAGTTACAACTTTGGTATAAAAAGTATCTTCATTTGATCCCATACAAAGAGGATACTATTTTTCTAATACGATTATTATGCTGCTGAAACTTTATATAATTTTTTTAGTATCTTAACGTCTTCAAATGAAAAAACTAAAAACTAGAAAGTTGTAGATATCGTCGAGATCTATAATTTTTATATAAAAATCATCTTCATCCAATATCATATTAAATAATTTTTCAAAATTTGAACAAGATAGAACAATACTGTCGCATCAACGGGAGTGGCACGACAACGTTATTTGGACACGACAGCGGTACCGGCGCGATTAAATGGGTTAGATCAGCAAAAATTTTTTCCAGGTGTCATTATTATTAAAATATTAAATAAAAAAGGATTAAAAAATAAAAATTCTCCACCAACCACCCACTCGGCCAGCGCGATCCCCTACCTGTTCTTTTACTCGTCGCGGCCCAGACCCCAGGCCCACCATGACATCCAATGGGCTTACGGCTCACTAAGCTTTAGAAACTGGGCCTATAAACGATGAGAACTGAGAGTAGAGTTCAATCCAGTTACTTGAAATGCAAACATCGCTTTCAAACAAAAAAAAGAAATGCAAACATCGGTTCCAACTCCAACTTCCAAGGGAAAGGAAGCAAAAATGAAAAAGAAAAAGAAAAAGTGTGTAGTCTATATACAATAAGCCCAACAAACGAAGGCAAATTCTTTCCCTTTTTGCGACGAAAACGAAGGGAAGTTCACTTGCATCAACCAACCAAAGTTCACCGTGTCAGGAAACAGGCATAGTAGAATAGTACAGAGCAGGGACAGCCTAAGCCGTCCGTCCTTCACATCGTCATCTACTTAACAATCTTCCAAATCCGCTGCAACCTCAGAAAACTCCACATGGAATTATGGAAACCAGCTAAGTCTACTGGCCGCCGTGGCGGTATAGGAGCAACGACCGGTAAACAGCGGCGAGGTGGAGGAACACGATCAGCAGGATGAGCAGATCATCGACGAATCCAAAGAGCCCCAGCACACCTGCAGGTTCCAGAATCAAGACCATGATGTGATATGAATATATGATACAAATACAGTTCAGGCAATAGTGGCAACAAGTTTATTAAGATGTTGTCACTTGTTCTTGGGAATATGGAACTCACTTTCGGGAAGAATGTCAACAGGACTCAGCACATAAATTGCACTCAGTGCGACCTACAAGTTCGAATAAGTCATCATCTTATAAGATTCATATATGGTCTCATCTCTCACATCCATTGCACTGGGCGATGGTATGAAACTGAGGTGAGGTCAGAAACAGCGCAACCTGTTTGCTTTCCCAATCTTAGTAACTTCCCAGCGTAATATTGAAGAGGAATATGAAGCAAAAGAATAGTTTGATCCTATGGAACTTACCATCATCATCATCCGCGTCCTGAACACAAGTGGGAGAGTCCGCTGGGGATCCATTAGTTCTCTGAACAGTCTTCGGATGAAGAAGGGTAGGGTCTTGCAACCTCTGGATAACGGGAATGTCAAAAACAAAGTAGTTAGATGAAAAACTCCCACGAGATTATATGGCTAGATGCTAGAGACATACATTTCTAGTTGAAAAAGTAGTCATATTCATTGTACAATTCTGACAGTTGTATCTTAGTTGTATACTTGTATTCCTTATACAACTATGACAGCTCCAATAGCCATATGTGTTATAACATGAAGGCCATATATCTAATGAAACCTACAATTAACAAGGGAATTTCTAACATTCTCTACAAGGAATGTAGGAGAACATTTTAATTATGCCAGGTCCAAATAAGAATTACTCCTGACAACAAAGATGATAGTAGGCTCGGTCTGAAAGAAAGCAGTGATCAAAGTAATTATACGCTAATACCTAACATTTCGTTCCATTAAAATCACCATGCCTAAGGCACATGTACAGTAGTCCGATTGGTTGGATAGATGATTTCCCAAACATATACAAATCCTATTAGGGACTGGGGGAGGCATGTCAATCAAGGAGAAACAGAACACGAATTCTGTTTTGAAACAATAGGAAACCTCGTCTCGGACCTTGTTTATCAAGGAGTTTGGCCACTGTTTTTTCATGCAGCAACTTTTACCAATCTCAAGTGTCGATTTTATTCTCGAAAGTATAGTGAAGACACCAGATTTCATGGACAGTGTACCAACCTGAGTCAGGCTGTGTGGTGCTCCACCAAATATACAGTTATAGTGCTGAATCTCTCCTAAAATACGGTGTGCTTGTGGATCATCCTCCTGCTCTGATAATGCAGCAGGCACCAGTAGGTTTATAAGGCAGCGACAAATGGGACACTTGCAAGCCTGTAAAAGATCAAACATGAATGATGCACTCTCCTGTAAAAGATCATCGTATCACCACATTCAGTAATAGAGAAAACTCCAAGGCAGTAAAGTTGTGTTGGGGTTGCGCAATTTATAAGATGATATTAGTAGTTCACCAAATTTGGAAAAAGAGAAAAAGAATCATTTCTTTATATGTATGTCTGGTCATTTCTAGCACACAAGACCACACATCTACGTATCTACTTATAGATAATACTGAACAAGAACACAACGCAACACAAAAGTTACACAAACTTTCAATAGAAAAGATAACCCCATCTTTGTATTGGCTTGTTATTTTTAATAGAAATAGTGATGGGTGATAATGATCTGTAGTGGGGGAGCCATTCTTCTTAACTTCTGCTTCTTATTGCCCTAAAAGGCTAAAAGAATCCATCCTGTTCTGTCGGGCAGAAGTTACAGCAGAGTTGTTTGGCTCGGCTACCACAAGTATTGTGTTCATCGGTTTCGGTTCCATCCCATGACACCACCCTTCCAAGATCCAGCCTCTCTTTAGCATCAATTCGTGTTGTTGACAGCTCGACACTATCTACCGACTAGCATTACCCTGTCTACTCACCTATAGGCTATATATGCCTCTATAACTTCCATTGTTTCAGTACCCTAAACCCTCATTTTGCATCGACTCATGCAGTTAATTCGTAATCAGACTCCTATGGTAAAGAGGGATCAAGGCCAATTCCAGCACCCGACTCGCAAACCGCAGCAATTTAGCAAACCCAGGAATTCTTGACAACTCGAACGAATCCACCCTTCTACAGGGAAAAAAAAGGCAACCAGTCCCAAATCTATTCTGAACCGAGTAGCTGACAGTTCTGCGTAGCCGACCGCATCGGCCGACTGGCTCGATTTCCCTCCGCGCAGTCGGATCGAGATTAGGGAAAGAACAGCCAAATCTCTCTAAAGAGAAGAGGGGCACGGCAGGACCAGGTAGGGAGAGGAAGAAGAGTAGGAGAAGGGACTTGCCACAGAACCAATGGGAGCAGTTCGCCTGGCACGGGATCCGGAAGCGGTCGTGGCAGACGGAGCAGACGTCGTCCTCCGGCGGCACGGCTGACGCCGACGCCGAGGAGGAGGAGCTCATCTCTTCCCCTTCCGGCTTTCGCTCTCTGTGTCCGCCCCGCGGCAGGAACGCGCTTGGCGTGGCGCTGCCCGCGTTATTTTGGGATTTTTAAGTTTTCGCCGTCGTTACGGATGCCGCTCGTCGTTTGCCAGTTTTATATTGGCAACTACGTTAACTACGTGTTTACCACACGAAACAGTCAGACTCCGTGTATTTACCATTTTCGCTGATGTGCGATGTAATCAGCCAGCGTGGCAGCGCTTTTCAAGACCATCGCTGTTTCTCTTCGTCCACTCGCTAACATATGGGCCCCACAAGTTAGGTTCTTCTTCAACCTTTGGCCAACAAGGAGCCGAGCACGCACCACTTATTGCCATCCGCACGCGCCAGCTGCACCCGCGCCCGCAGTCGCTTGCCGCCCAGGCGCTACTTAGGCGCCTGTCGTGTCGGTCGGCGGTGGTCTCCTTCAACCTTTCCCACCGCCACAACTTCGCAAACACACGCGGCTATTGTGTCGGGCGCCGCCACCCGAAAATTACCGCAATTGCCGCCCCGACGCCAAGGGACTCACACCATTTGACAACGCGTTTCACCGCCTATGCCGTGCTCAACTCGGCATTATTAGGCCAGCGTCTTGCGACTGGCCTCCCGCACGCCATCGCACCTTCATCCATATCTCGAGCTAGCTCGAGCTTTGCAGCGTGCCGATGATGGTGGCCGGCGGCGTCGGAACTTCGTTGCCCCCAGCGTCGTCCTCGCCTACAGCCCGCCTTGCCGCCCTCCAAAGACCGCCCAACACGTGAGGCCTCCCACACCACCCCACGCGCGCCAGCCATTGCAGCTACCTCTCCCCTGCAGTGCAGCTCTCAACACGCAAGCACAGAGTCCGCTACAGTTGTGGAGCCCTTCCCAAGCCCACCGGAGCGGCGACACCCTCCCCGCGCCGCCATGCCCGAGTCTACCGTCTCCGTAGCCGGCCGCTGCCCATGCCAAAATTGCACCGGACTCCGTAGCCACCCCATCCTTCGTTCCTGCTCATGTCGAACTCAATCGCACGCACAGATGCATCCCATGGGCCGCACGCACGAACGCCCTTGCCTGCACGCGCTTCGTTGCGCCGGCCATGACCGAGGAGGCGCAGAGGGATGAGCCTGCTTGTTGATGGCTGATGCTGGAGGTTGAATGGGGGACCTGACTGGTGGGGCCCACATGTCACCGAGTGGAGGAAAAGAGAAGCAGCAATGGTCTCAAGAGCACTGCCACGCTGGTTGACTACGTAGAGTGCCACGTCAGCGAAAATGGTAAATATTTAGAAGTTTTACTGTTTTGTATGACAAATATGTAGAAAGACATATAAAACTGACAACAGAGGAGTGTCATACGTAACGATGGCAACAACTTAAAAATCCCCGTTATTTTGTGTCCACCACGTCAAGTCGTCGGCGACTTGCCGACTTGGGGTGCTTTGCCGGGGCACTCGGTGAGGTGTTATCCGTCGTTGGATACGAGGCAACGCCGACCTCGACGCTAAAGTAATCCTTCGACGGCCTGATTTAAGACAATTAATTAATATTTCAAATACAGTTATAAATGTATATAACTATATACTCACGCTTTTTGACCATTTTATTCGCTTCCGTTTCCGAATGATTCGCCACTTCACGATTTTCATTAACACATGTAGTTTTCTATTTTCCGTCTGTATTACTGTATATAATAAATAGTACTACTCGAATGTTCAAGAAACAATTGGACATGGACAATTTAAACTAGCAACCTCATTTGCCAAATATAATCACACTTTTGACCATTTTATTCGCCTCCGTTTCCAAATACTTTGGCACTTCACGTTCCGAGACCTACACTAGAATGTTCAAGAAACACTTTGGCGGTGTTTGGCATGGCTTTTCTTGAAGAGCTCCTCCAGAGGAGCCGTAGCTGTTTTGGAGGATTCGAAATGGCTTTGACTCCTCTACTCTTTACTGAAAACGGCTTTCCGATAAAGAGCCAAAGCTAGAGCTGGAGAGGAGCCCTGCCAAACTACGGAAACATTCACCGGCCCAGCCTGATTCTGATTAAATACAAGGTCCCATCATAAAATACACACATCCAACTATCATCATACCACCTCCAATACATACAGCCGTGCAGAAATAAAAGCGAAATGTGAGCACGGAAAGCGAATAATCTCAAAAAGCTAGGTCGAGCGGTCAAATTAACACCAATATGTGAGCATACAAGATTTCAATTCACCTCAGATCAAAAGCAACTCGATTGGGATTTCTTTTCAAAGAAATTATTGATTGCTTGTTATATTGCATCCGCTCTACAATGTTTCTTAGTGATTCAGTACAAGCCGAAACTATAAACCAGGTGCATCATACAAGTTCAGAACTAGGGTTTCAGAACAGTACTTTTTTTTCATGGAAATAGTGGCCATTTCTTGTCACCCATTGCATAAGAGATGATGCTCTTTTTCAGTGGTGATATGTACTGAGCACCGTGGAACGCAGCAGCTCTCACCATATTAAGGGGCCCAAAATCAACAGAGTACATCTTCTGGAAACCATCTAGCACTGCTGTCATCGCCACATTGGCAGCCTTCTGGTCCTTCTCATATCGTTGTAGCAAAGTCAGCTGCCAAAGGAAACGAACAATTTAAAATAGCATTAATTATGATTCAACTATGAATCATAAGAATGGTTCAGGTGCAATGCAACTGTAAAGTTCCAAAATTAAATTTCAAAAGAGAGGCTAAACAGAAACAACAATAGATACTTACGTCCCCAACATCTGAGCCCACAGAAACTCCTTCAGCAATAACTTTTGCTAAAGCAGCAGCATCACCAAAGCCCAAGTTGACGCCTTGACCGGCTAAGGGGTGGACAGTATGAGCAGCATCTCCAACTAATGCTAGCCTTTTGGAAACATAATCATGGGAATGCATCAATGACAATGGAAATGCCATTCTCTCAGAAACTACACCGGTTGCTTTTGGTGGTACTTCAAAGCATTCCTTTGTAGATGTTGCAGTGTTCCCAATGCCAGAAAAGAACTGTTCCATGTAATGGTCAAGAGCAGTAGAGCGAGGATGTGGGCCATAACCAAAATCCAATGCGTGGTTCACCGACTTCACAAACTCTTCAGGGCTCATTGACTTATGGCGCAATGACTCCTCTGGGCTCATTGTCCATACAATGTTGCTGAAGTTGTTGCCTATCGGAAGTAGTGCAATTGGACCAGAAGGGAGAAACCTCTGCCATGCACAATCATTTTCCACAACATGCTCTACTGTACAGATAATTGCACTTTGCGGATAATTCCACCCAGTTGTTTTTATGCCTGCAATCTGTCTAACATTGGACTTTGAACCATCAGCTCCTATCTGCAACAAAGTTTAAATAGGACTAGGAGATTGAGGAATGAAGCAAAACAAAGGTCAAAATAATGCAAAAGAAGATAAATAAGAAATTACCACCAATTTGGAATATAAAATCCGTCCATCACTGAGGTCAAGTTTAACTAAATTACTGCGATGTAACTCTTCTGTAGTATGACCAACAGATAATGGTTCACTTGATGCTGGTTTCATTCCTGCTTGTCTGCTCTTCAACGGGAAAGTAAGAGACACCAATCTGGTAGGATATATCACATTTTCAATATCATCCAATTCTTCCTGTTTAGGGAGAAAATTTTAAGCGTCAAACAAAGTTGATTATTTTTACCAGAAAGAAAGGCACGCTAACAGAGTGGGAATCTGGGTTGCACGACACCAAATTATCAAATTCCTGTGCTCTTGGCTATCTGGGATTATCTTATTTTACCGCATACCTGTAAGCACATCATATATTTTTTTTAAAAAAATGGTGTATTTGTACTGTTTACAACTAACATAAGAGAAATATATGACCTTTAGGCAGCACAAAAGCAAACACAACTTTTTGCCATGACAAATACACCATAAGATTTACTTTGATACCTATGATGCATAAACAACGTGGGCAATACAATTCACTATGATGTTCAAGAGTTAAAGAAAAGACAAACCTTTAAACGTAAGAGCAGCGAGTTGCAAAGCACCTTGTTCTCCACCACACATCTAAGCAACGCAAACACAAAAAGAAATATATGGCCACTGACAAAAAAAGATAAGCAGATAAAAAATAATGACAGCTTATATTAAAGCATACCCAAGGTATTCTTTGCCCACATCTCTTGCATTATACCTCGTGTATCCAAGCCCAGTGTAATCCCACACCTGCCAGTTGTAAGCAAAACATCCAGTATTGTAGTTATTACCAAAGTGGAGCATCAATTTCATTGTGTGTTTGCATGGAAAATAACAGAGAGAAGGACCAAAGAAAAAGAGAAGGCAAATACTGATGCATGCCCATATGGTTAGGTGATAGATGTACTTTTGCACAATATACACATTGACACTCTGGCGTGCCTAGATGATACAAAAACATCTATTGTAGACCAGCTATCTTCCAAAAAGACATAAGCTCCTGTTTTATGCCATCAGATATAGTAAGCAGAAACATGAATGCACAATAGAAGTATAATACTGTCTCTATGCTCAAATTGTAAATTGAGCTGGACAACCTTTTGAAAACCTGAGGCTTGCATGCCCCACTGGTATTGCTAGCATAATGTAAAGCACACAAATGATAACTTCAATTGTTTAGTTAAATTAGTACAAACTCATCACTAACTTGGCATCTGATCAGCAAAGCTCAAAATGCAAATACACCAAGAATGTGTTTGGTCAAAAGAGACAAAAGGTGAAACTGTAATAAACAATGGCCATACATTATCAAATAAATTGTTTATATAGATAGAAGCATGTTAAGTCCTCACCTGCATTTTACCAAAGAAAGCATGTCTTTGCTGTTGAACATGCTCCCAGGCGCCAATATCTGCCACATTAATGCGCACACATGCATGAGGAATATTACCAATAACGCTATTATTTCTGGTAGCAAAACAAGCCATGCACATATAAAAAATGGAAAAGTATC